TATAAAACGCACCCAAATGCTATTTATACTAGCAGACTTTTGAATTTTTCAAACTTATCACAACCAACTAATGCCCCATATTATGAGAAGGTACTTGAAATGTTATCGGATGAAAATGCAGGTGAATATATTTTTAGATAGTATTTGTTCACATTTCTAAATTATTTACAAATTTTACTTTAAACTTTTTAGACTCAAGCTTAGTTGATTTGGACAATTCTAATTTTTAGGTATTTTTGAAAAAATGTTGCAGAAAATTCTTCGATTAACGAAAATGTTTAATTTCTTTAACCACCATACGATTAAACTTTAATTATTTCGTATTGAAATTTTTTTTTGTTTTTATGTAAATGATGATTTTTAAAAATATGCGTTATATTAAAGGATTTTATAAAGTGAAATACCAATCGTATTTTTTTACTTCAGCAAATTTTTAATGGTTATTTAATAATAGGTTATCATTAATTCTCCTGACTTGACAATTAATTTTACTATGATATATGATAAAAATTTTTTTCTATTTAATTGGTAAGTAAACTGTCCTGCTAGAAATCAATCAGATTTAGAAGTAATCAACAAATGATAAGAAAAAATTTTTGTGCTTTGTATTACAAAATAGTTTGAAGTAAAAAACATTAAAATTATTAATTATCAATTGGCTTGTAAATTCTTTAGATTTTAATCCTATTAAAAATATTTGAAAATTTTTAAACCAATACCAAATTATAAAAATTTTTCAAGAATTATAAATGAGCTGTTTTAAAAATAATATAGTTAAAATTTGATGTTTGGATTTTTTAAAAAAGTTGTAAATTTAATATCATGAATAGTTAATATAATAATAATAGATGCAAATAATAAATTAATATATATAAAAATAAAATATATACAGTACTTATCAAAAGTTTAATAACAATTAAAAATCAAGCAATATTTTTTATAATAATTGTATATAATTTTTTATTCTAATTATTACTGTTTTATTTATTTATAATATTGTTTAATTTTTTTTGAAATAAAAAATTATTATTTCTTTATTTATTTCATATATAATATGATATATTTTTAGAAAAAAAGAAATATCTCTTAAATATAAAATATATAATAAATTAAATATAATTCAATTATAAAATAAAGTTATTTGATATAGTATTTTAAATATTTAATTATCAATAATTTTTTATATCAATATTTCTTACCTAAAAAATAAATAATCAAAATCGAAATAAAATTTATATTAATTTTTTTAAAAAATTTTATATTTAATAAATGATCTCGATAAAAAAAATTATCATCTTTAAGTACTGTAACTTTAAATCGCACCAAGTTTTCATCTAGTGAAACGATACATTGACATATATTGGCAAAGTATTGTATATATGGTAATTCAATAAATTAAAATATTGTATAACGTATGGAATGGTAAAAAAATTTTTTAATATAACATCTGAATTGCACGTTTTCTCATGCTAGCACGTGTATTAATCTATTTTTTAGTTTTTCATCGATATTTTTTTCGTCCTATATATTCACAACAGCGAGGTCCAGAAAACATTTTTAGTTGACCGTTCGCCTAATAAACATAAATTTCTTCCATCCTCTACCTAAGATCGTTCTTTCGTCCTTTCAGCATTAGACATGGCTCCAAAAACCGGCGCCGATAATAATGGCGGTATTAGAGAAGAACTATCTCATATATCGTATCTTTTGAAGGTTATTCAAGAACGTGTTGAAAAAATCGAAGTCGATATAAAAGGAGATTCCATTAAAACAAAAGAACAAGATTCTGGGTTGAGGATGGTAATCATGGGACCGCCTGGCGCTGGTACGAAAAATGAGATACCGGATAAATTCTCTTCCAAAATGTCGTAACTTTCACATTTGAATTCTTATCGCACCTTCTATAAATTATTTTATGCAGGAAAAGGAACTCAATCGCAGAACATTAAAGATAAATATTGTGTTTGCCATCTGGCTACTGGCGATATGTTACGTTCCCAAGTTGCTGCGAAAACTAAACTTGGTATGGAAGCTAAAAAAATCATGGATTCAGGAGGTTTGGTACCCGATGAAATCATGGTTGGAATGATTCATGATGAACTGCACAGTAATCCAAAATGTAAAGACGGGTATGATCATTAACAATTTTATTTATTTTTCTTTTGTAATGAAATTTCAATTTTTATTTTATCCTGATTATGCTTTTCATGAATTCAGCTTCATTTTGGATGGGTTCCCTCGTACAGTACCTCAGGCGCAAAAACTTGACTCCATGTTGAAAAAGGATGGTAAAAAAATTGACCATGCTGTTGAGATGGTTATTGATGACAATTTGCTGGTCTCGCGCGTTACCGGTCGTTTGATCCATCAGGCTAGTGGTAGGACGTATCATAGAATTTTCAAGTAAGTGATTTGCCATCGACAGAGGTGACAAAAAAAACAACTCGATATTGAAATTATTTTTTTTTTTTAGTCCGCCAAAAATTCCGGGCAAAGATGATGTCACAGGCGAGTCACTTATTCAACGTTCAGATGATAATGAAGAAACTTTAAAAAAGCGGCTTGCTAGTTATCACAAACAAACCGCTCCTGTAGTAGAATATTACAAAAAAAAGGGTATTTGGTCTCCTGTTGATGCTTCTCAAAGTACTAGCGTAGTTTGGGCAAGTTTATTAGCAATTTTTGATAAGGGAAAACATAGAGGAGATTAATTGATTTAATAAAGCATCATTAAATACTGCGTTCCCGCCAACCCATCATAAATCACGTGAAAAATCGTATGTTACGTTATCATTGTTTTTTTACTTGTCAGCATCTGCCGGATGTTTCCGTTTTTCCGGAAATAAATCCCGGTTTTTTTTTTTAACTAATATAAGCTACGTATGTAAAACTGACATCATATAACATTACTTTAATATATTGTGGCGAAAACGAGGCTTAATACATATATATAGTTTTCGTATGCATTTCATGCTGGTGGCATCAGTTCATTTTACTTCTACCTTTTTAAACACCTCTTGATTGACGATGCCTTCGACGGATCGCCAAACTGCTTTGGATCTTTACAAGTATGCAAAGTAAACATCAATGCTGTAGTCGCTATCTGCTCTCCTAACCGCCAATTTCATAATGACACTTAGATCTTCGGTGGAACTTGAAGACAAGTTACGCCAAGTTTCCAAACAAAAACCACCTTACGATAAACAAGTGACAACCCTGCGCATCAGGTAAGCAGCTACTTTCGTTTCAAAATAGTTGCACCTCTTTTCAAATGTTACTGAAATCGCTTTAAATACGTACATCTGCCTTGTATTAGTCTACGTGACCACTATGAAAAAATTATACTTCTCGATTATGAATTATCACAAACTAAGGAAGTTGAACAAAATTTGTGGAGATATGTATATTACAAGTTTATCGAAGACTATAGAAAGAGGATTCGCAACGTAAGTTGAATTATTTTGTTCCTTTTTTTTTTTTTGCGATTACCACTTATGTGAACCAGCCGTCTCATTTTTTTGTTTTGTTTCTCCAGTCATCAGCTAATAGTGAAAAATCCAAGGGTACTCCACGCAAGTTGTCCGGTGCATTCCGTTCGTTCCTGCAGGAAGCGACAGGCTTTTACTTCGACTTCATCAAGAAGCTTGCCATTCATTTTGGGTTAAAACAATTGGATCCGATCATTCAAAAATTTGGATCTACCTTAGGTGATTATAGTTTCTATTCTGATAACTTTAGGATCAATATTATTATAATTCAATCGTCTGATACAACAAAATTTTGATATAGAACCTACCGACATTTCTCAGTGCCCTTATGATGACGACATTAAACAGAGAGTTGTGCTCAGCTGTCATAAAAGTTTGATATTCCTTGGAGATTTAGGTAAAATATATTCTTCGTATTTTTTTGCTAATAACTGTGTGTTTTATTATGTAGCTAATAATTTGTGTACATTTAGCACGGTATCGTGAATTGCATAATGACAAACCACGTAAAAATTGGTCTACTGCCTGCGATTATTACAACAATGCAAGGCAACTAATTCCCGAGAGTGGTGAGTGTATGCCGCATACGAACAACCTTGCCGAGGTGGAGTTTATATAATCATTTGTCGACCATACCCTTTCTTAATTCTCAGGAAATCCTCACAATCAACTGGCGGTTATTGCAACTTATAACGCTGACGATTTTGCTGCCGTCTATCATTATTATCGGAGCCTTGTCTTGAGGCATCCTTTTCTCACAGCAAAGGATAATATTAGTCTTTTGTTTCAAAAGGCCAAGAAACCCTCCACTGATACATCCGAGAGAGTTCAAGAAAATGGAAGTAGACGACGCTTTTCCCATCAGCGTCAAGCATCATCGCCCGCCAACTCAAATAAGTTGCGAACTGGTGATGCCACTCAATCTTTTTTTGCGGATTTTACCCGATTACATAGCATTTTGTATTTGAGAGAGGAGTAAGTTTTGTTAAACCATTCCTTTACATTCAAACTTAATCTGTTAATTTAAGTGATAAAATGTTTAATTATGCTTATAATTATTTTATAGCATAGAATCCTATTTGGAATTGAAAACTTTGGAACTAAATAAGTTAAAGGAACTCACTCAAGCACGCTTATTGGACACTGATCAACTCTTGAAGTTCACAGTTATCAACATGGCTGCGTTGTTCGTGATTCGTCATATTTCCAGCGGTGAGTTACCTTTCCCATCTTCTTCCATTATCATTTGTCTGCGATTTCATTAAGACTAAAATAAATAAATAAATAAACCTTTATTTCTATTAGGAGAGAAGGTCCAATCTGACAATGGTCAAAAAGCTAAAAACGCTCATTCGAAAAAGGTCCTGGTGGAAAAATTTGCAGTATTGTTAATTTTAGATACCCTGTCAACTTTGTTGGAGATGTGTAATTTCGAGTTAACAGATGT